TTGTATGGAGCGGGTAGTTGTTGACATCTGTTTAGGGGAGTCTGTTCTAAGTTAGTAAACCAGCTTTCCAGAGTCAGTCGTTGAAAATAGTCAGTGCTGTAGGTTAGGCATTGCGCAGAGTCCCAGTCAATGTTGTGGTTGGTAAGTCGATGGTGTTCAGCAATGTGATTGCTGACATCACCTTTCCTCGTCGCCCGTCTGTGTTCAGTCAGTCTTGTTGTGAGGTTTCTGCCAGTCTCACCGATGTAGGAGGCTTGGCAGTCGGAACAATTGATCTTATAAATCGTTCCCTGTCTGTTCCTCGGTTCGTCTTTGTCTTTAACGTTGGTTAGTAACTGACGTAGTGTGGTGATGGGTTTGTGGGCGACGCGGATATTGAAGGGTAGTAAGATGCGCGAGATGTTTTCAGACATGCCTTTTATGTACGGTATGGTTGCTGTAGTCGTAGGGGTTGCGGTGTCGTTTGTTTCGGTAGTGGTAGTGGGTCGGTGAGTGTTTCGTCGGATGAAGTCGTTGTTGTAGTTGTTCTTCGTAAAAACACGGTGAAGGTATTTGTTCTCGTCGGATAAGCTGTCTGTCGAGTCACATACTAGTTGTGCGCGTCGTGTTAGAGTTCTGATAGTTGTGGCTTTGTGTGATGTAGGGTTGTAGGATGACTCGTCTAGTAATCTGTCGGTGTGTGTATTGTATTGTATTGTAATCTTTATTTAGACACGATCTACCTACGCAAGCACTGTCAGGCGAATACGACAACAACTCTGGTTCAATCACCGCTGTAAAGATCACGGCCTTGTTCCGGCCGGGCTCAAACTTAAGTCCCCGTTGAACGATAGAAAATTGTAAATCATCCGTCGCTTATGAGAGATGGTCGCTAACAAGAGGTTCCATTTATAGTGCTTTGACTTGGAAACTTTTGGTATTTTGAAAAAGTGGTCGCTGACGAGAGTTTGTCGCTCACGAGAGGTTACAAAGGGAGGTTCGACTGTATTATCCATTCTCAATGTTAACGACCTAGCGCGAGGTTCAATCAAGCAAACCAATTAAGGTGGTTCCCTAGAATATTTACAAATAAGCCTCCCTTTAGAGCTTGAGTTACAAAAGGAAATCTAGTTAGTTTACCTCAAAGTTTTTTCTCGAAAACAAAATATTATGAAATATTTAAAATACATTTCTGAGCATGAGTAAGCTTTTAAAATTTTTCTTTTTTCCGGTGGTTTTTTTTTCGGTGTTTTTTTCAAGTTTTCTTTTCAAACTTTTTTCCAGTGTTTTCTTTTGTTTTGAGAT